ATCAAACGTGCATTTGTTATGTACATATATTAACATTCTTGAGGTTTGTTCTGTACATGGATCTACCAACTGAAAACAACTGCCATTAGACTATGAATACACTATGATTACAACGATTCACGAGCAACCAGTCAGCTGATTTCACACACAAGCCATTTAAAGTAATCGCAGCACACCAATTTGTGACCAACTGACTGCTGCTGATGACTCTCTGTCAGCATTTTTAGCAAAAATAAAAGGGAAAGATTACCATGGTAAACTACAACCGTACATCAATTCTGTTTTATTTTTGGCCAGTTTCCTGTCTATCATACAATGTCTCTATTAAGTTCTCTTTTTCATGTATAATTTGTCCATTTTCCTTTCCGAATTTTCCAACCTGTTCAGGACTATTCTTCTGAAAAGCATCACCATAACATCCCTATTTTAGAAAAAAATCTTCATGACTATGAACATTTAAATGAATATCTCTTCAATGAAAAGTTTCATTTGAAAAATATTGTGAGTGTCTAATTTATTTAACTCTGCACATTAGTTACATACAACTTAGTAAATGGCCATTTACAGATGAAACAATGACTGCTAGCATACCTTTAACGAACACGTGTACATATTTAATCAGACGTCATGTGTCAATAAGATCAATGTCATAGCATATACCAAATTATAATGACAAACATTACCAGTACAATTTTTACTTTCACTCAAAACTCAAAACATTTAAGCTGCCCAGACTCTAGAAATCTAACACCTGGTGTGCCGCAGATGACTTTGTGTCATATGAAGATCATAGAGAGCATGAAATATGCATTTTGATTTGGACTTCATAAACAGGGTACAAATGGAATATATTTGTTCCTTTTGCCCCAGAGGACATTTCATGGAGTTCGTTGTATACTGTCGTTACGAGATGTCACACTACGACATCAGAGACATCAGCTGCTCTGATCTTTCTGGGTCCCACATTTAACAGTTAATAGTCACCAGTGCCCTGCCCAGTCATGTTCATTCACCTCTTCAACAGTCACCAGTGCCCAGCCAAGTTATGTTCAGTCACCTCTTCAACAGTCACCAGTGCCCGGCCCCAGGCATGTTCAGTCACCTCTTCAACAGTCACCAGTGCCCCGCCCCAGTCATGTTCAGTCGCCTCTTCAACAGTCACCAGTGCCCGGCCCCAGTCATGTTCAGTCACCTCTTCAAAAGTCACCAGTGCCCGGCCCCAGTCATGTTCAGTCACCTCTTCAACAGTCACCAGTACCAGTACCTAGTCACATCCAGTCACCAGTGCCTAAGCATGTGTCACAGGGGGGAGGGAGAGATAAAGATAAAGATTTAAGTTACAGTATGGTAAAAATTAAGGAAAGAACATATTTTTTTAGTTAAAGACGTCCATTGCGAGTTAATGTTTAAAAATATTAATTATTGGGGGAATTTGTCAGAAATGTACACAAAATTAGGGAGCCCGTTTGATGACATTATTGCTAGAGCTGCCAATGTCTTCAGCGGCCGGATCTGGGAGGGAAGACTCTTTATTCACCATAACGGATTTATTGCCGCATTGAAATTCGAAACCGAAAAATAAGGCGAGCAAGGATGTTGTCCCTTACATCAGTCAACGTTTTGGTCAGCTCATGCAAGTAAGATTGCTGATACTGATGTGTCCTTACGCGTCACCAAAACATATTCCGAATTTGCAATATGGGCGACAAATCGGATGATTTAATTGAACAATCCAACACCTGTGCTGATGCATTATACTGTTAAAAATATCGCTATTCCCATGACGGCGTAAAATCAGGGGTAACGTTGTCCTCAAAATATCGCCTTCCGATCGTCACACTACTGCAACCAAAATGGTCCCATTCAACGACACATCCATTACCAAAGCTCGTTCACCCCGACGTCTCCAGTAATTCTGTGACAAGTAGAATCTCTAATCATCTTTAAAAAGAAGATGGGTTTTTTTTCATTGTGAAAGAATTTATTTCTTGAACACAGTTGGTTCACAATAGTGATAGTATGGTTGTTTAAGCATGATATACAAAGTAACGTTTTCCCTTGGGATTCTAATAATGACCAAATGATGTTTTTTACTGACACGAAAGTGATGTTATTAACTCTCCCCTCGTTTCGACACTCGGAAATAACTATAAAGATACCGAATTTTTAGGGGTTATCTTAAGTACGTGTCTTACGTATATCTAAAATACAAGACGGTAGACTCTGCTGGCGGATTTCTTAGTTACAAAGGTCATAACTTTGATGGCCACAATTGTATCTTTTCAGTAGTGATACGGTTCATAACACAAATGTATGCATACTTTACGCATTACTTATATGAATTTAACCAGTATTCCTCCTTTTTGTTAATTGATATAAGTAAGGGGTTTAATGCAATCCCAAACTCACCTATTCCAAATGTAGTTTGACCTTTTTGGATTGCATTCTTTTTAACCCCACGCCAGATGTATGTTATAGTGTCATTCATTCTCCGACTTTCATATTATGTGTTCCGGCTTACTTTGTTATCGACTTACGGTATTACTTGGATTCGACATAGATTGACATGGCAGGTGACATCGAAAACGCCTACCCTTCCGGAAGACCTTCATGGTCTCATTCACATTGTTCTTTTCCAAGGTTCTCCATTTAGATATCCTTTGTTTGTGTTTTGCCCTAGTTTTACCGATTTTGAGTTCGAATTGTGTTTTTGTTTATGCATCGGTATTTTATTAGTTTACATTAAATATTAAGTACATGTATCATTTCATTTTCGTTCTTTAGCTGGCGCAAACCTGCATTCAATTCGTTGTACGTTGGCTGTTATTGAGCATCGGATTATAGCAAGTAAGAATATATGGTTGTGAAGTAGTGCTTTCTTTGTGAATGTATATCGTATATTACAGTATCATCGGAACAGAATATTGTGTGAGGTCTGAGTGAGCGATATGATTATACTTGCTGTGATTGTGTTCGAACAGTTAGATTTAGGACGTACGTTATAAAGAGAACTTGTGAATTTTGAGTGAAAGTATTGTGATTGTACATATGTAAACAGATGTCAGTAAATTTTAAATAGAATTAAGTTTGTTACGCTATGGTACCCCAGCTAACGACAAACCAGTGACTCCGTCACATTGTCAAGGTAAATTTACGCACCAATATCGATTTTTAAATGACTTTGTCCCGACATTTGTTTATTGAAAATAGTGAATAATAACGTTTGTATCAAATAGATTCCCAATTCTATTATTTTTGCATAAAACATGTCAGCTGTACATTATAATAAGTATGTAAGATAAACTTGAGTATGGCTACACCACTACATATTAGCCAATGTAAGCGACAGATTCACTGGTAAACAAGAACTTAATAAATGTCGTCAAATACAATACAGTTGTTTGTTTTAGATTTAAAAACAACAGGAAGCATTTTCAAAAGAGTAAGGATTTACATTCTATGTTAATGGTTATGAAAACCCATCTCTGCATGTAGGACAAATACCATGATCAATACAAATCTAGAAAAAATAGTTAAAAAGCAAAAACTTATAGTACTGTTCTTAGTGTCCAGCATCTTGACGATAATTTGACAGATATCCAATAAAATTAATAAATAAAAAATGAATTGACAATTATGACACTGAAAAAATGGATGTATGACAATGTGATATGAAAGTAAAAGATTCCGTAGGCCCTGTATCTCTCACTTGTATCTTTTGTTGTCTTAACTAACTAGAGAGGAAATTGAAATGTTTCTTCATATCATGGTGATTCTATTTATTATCAAGGCTCTCTGCTCAAGGTAGCATAGAACCAGGATCAAAAGACATCAACAGTGTCATAAATGTTTTCATTTCACTCCATTGTAACAACAAAAACACATAATCAATGGGAAAGTAATATGTTATCAACTTAAATATATATGTATATTGAAAAATATCAAGAAACTATATTGCTCCGAGTATTATAACAACATGATCCTGCTTTAATCAATGTACATGTATCTGTTTGAATTAATATTGCTAGAAACATATCAAAGTAAAGTGTATATGTGTTAGAATAAAAAGGGTTCGTCTAATATGTATACATACGAACGTCATTAGAGGGAGTAGTAAGTGTGCTTTTGAGTGGTGTGTGGATTGACGTGGTCAATCCCGACTCCTCTAATCTGGTAGGTCGGACTGATACAGACTTGGTGAGAGTGCCAATAGTCTTACTAAACGATACACGTCACTACTCGGTCCACTTGAATAAGGACCTCACACTTTTGATTTGTGGATAGTTGTGGCGAGCCAGATGTCCGAACTACAGTCTCCTCCGGGGTAACGGATCTCGTGCGCCAGGACAGGGCCATTTGGTTCCTTGCCAAAATCCACCACGAAATCTTCGTTAAGTGTCAAACCGCCATTTTTAGTATCGACATCAATGGCCAGCATCATGGTGCCTTTGCTGTTAAAAGGACAAATGCCTGGTATATATAGTATAAATGGTAGAGAGACATTGTCTGAACTATCATTATTGTCTTACACACACCACATGCAGTTAAAAATCTCCAAATTGTCCCTTTAAAGGAATCCTTTACTGAGGTTTACATCGTGGTGAAAGCTCGTTTAGATTTAGTGAAACAGAATTGTATTACATTTAATAATTAAAGATCAGCTTAAAAAGCAAATATGCATCTGAAATATGTGTCGATGGATGCATTTTTGTTAGCAGAAATTCTCACATGTTTAACAAAAAAATCCTTCGGAGCTTCTTTGAATAATTTTCGAACATATATCTGCTTGATATAGAGCTACATATCTAACTTAGATATCAAAATGATTGCCCTGACTCAAAGTCTTATTAATAAATTAAGCAGTTGTTTATTTTCTGGTTATTTGAAATCGTAGTTGATCACTGATCGGCTTAGACATTTTCAGGATGATTGAAAAAGGTACATGTAGAAATATTCCTCTCATGATATGACAGATGCTACCAAGGTCCTATTCAGGTCTAAGTATAGTGCACGCAATACCTGATACCTGGTGTGTGCGGCTTTATATTTTTAGTGATCTCCTGGGTAAATTGCAGGATTATTACGGTAATTCTTTACTCAAACAGATAAGTTTTCCTGCAATTGACAAAATGTATAAAAATACGCAATGTCACTGTTTACCTTATTAGAAATATATAATATGCTAAAAAACTAGAAAACTTATAATGACCTACCTTTTTGTGGCCAGATTTGATTACACATTGCACTTAGCTCAGGTGAACACAATGATCTAACTTAAGTGATTTCTAGAGGCATTTTAAATTGTTATCCTTGTCTATTACGCAGTGCAAGTGATATTTTGTCTTTCAGTGTTTTTAAAGTTTAGAATTTAGCTGATTGATAGCTAAATACTTATCCTGTCATTTACAAAGTTACGTTTGACCAGACCGGTGTAAAGGCGGTTCCTAGGTTATTTTGGTTATCATCTGTAGCTGAACGAACTGCATCCCAGTTAACGCTCAAATAATTAATTGTACAATATAAGTTATTGATTATATTTTGTATAACAGAAGTTGTAAATGACATTTTTGTACAATAGAAACTGTTTTTGATCGTTTTCGTATATTAACAACAATTTGTGATATTGGATGAACAATGGTAGCAATTTATGATATATTTTGTATAAAAGAATCTGTTAACGATATTATCTGTTAATTATAATTTGTGTACCAGATTTCATAAAAGAAAAATGAATGTTGTCGTTCTGTGTTCATAATGTTCAAGGCAATTTTTTGATTTCGATATTTTCTTTTGAATTCTTGAAATGACGGCTGACTCTTGGACAAATATACTGGTCATATGAAAATGCTGTACGATACAACAAAAGGTCGATAGAATGCATACTATTGTTGGCATTTGTTTGGCCATAATTGCAACAGAGTTTATCATTGACAAATTGATATTATAATGAAAGCGACAAAATACTTAATTATTTTAAATAAGGCGACAGTGACAAATCGTACTAAGCTTCAAAATATGCAAACGGGAAGTAGACAGTCTTCAAATCATGTTTTCCAATTACACTACCGAGTGAATAGGCATTCTCTACATGTAGTCGACTTTAAATGCAAGGACTAAAGCACAAAGAGTTAATTAAGAAATCCGACTTAAACTGCATCACCTGTCCAATCATCGTACCTTTTAATGCCAATTTTTTCTTCATTATTTGGCAAATCTATGTTTGTTGTTATATCCTGGTTCGTGAACAGAAATGCACCTACTGCTTGCTCAAAACAGGATTAATCCGTATCAAAAACAAAGAAAAACTGCAAAAAGGGAGGACTTCAGGTTCAACCAAATCGATGTCACATTGCTAAGGTAATGGAAAAGAATATATAATTCGATCATCACTTAATATAATATTTTACTCACCTTGTCACGAAAATCATTCTTCAATGGCGACAAGACCAGCTGTACATGTTAGTAACACGTTACGGCATCTTTATATCGTAATGTTATGTAATGTAAGCACCAAGCGTGAGTAACTGGTAAATACAAGCTTCCCAAGTATGTTTATACATGAAGGATTACAAGCCACCCCAGCTTTACTGGTTAGTACACGTTATTTGATCCCCGCTGGTGATCGTTAAGGACAAGCAGTTTGCCAAAGCTGTTTTGCTACTGCTTTTTCCACTTTAAGTCGCCAGATTAGCGTAGGTGTCCCCGGCTCGTTATATCTCACTATTTCTGAAATGTTCGACTGCCTTATTGAAATATATAATGTAATGAATAAGAACACCTGAAAATATCTTTAGATAAGATTGAAGGGGCACGTCAAGGTAAAATCCACGACGTCACCCAGAAACTAGAGGTTTCACAATATAGATATCTTCTTTTATGCAAATGATGGCTGAATTCCTACATCAAATTTTTAAAAAAGCATGCTCTTTGCAGTGCAAAAGTTCGAAAGGTCAATTTAAGACTTTAAGAACCTGCCATCCTTGATGAAATTTGATCGAGTGTTAAATCAAACCATCAGTTAAACGTCTAAAAGTAACTTACTACGCACCAACTTGTATCCTACTTAACATTGTATTCTTAGTTATCAGGCCAATTTGTATATGAATGTAGATTAATTTAAACCATCCTTGAAAACAAATTACCGCTTGATTGAAACGTTTATCATTTTGGTGCGATAACTGATTGACATTAAATAGCAGTGTGTTTATGATAGCAAATACAGCCGACCAGAAACACGCTTCATCACACAATGTCAGTAAGAGGTAGGGTTCTTTTCTCACGAAAAGAAAGAAAAGGGAAAATAATGAAGAATTTAAGAAAAAACACAATAATGTTTTAAACAAATGTATTTTTACACCAACAACAATAGTGGTAAAGTACACGTATGCTTAAGTCTTAACATATCCCGGTATAACGAAGAAACATGCATATAGGTATCGATGCCCCAACATCATCAATTACCACCATATTTTTAAAGATGTTCTGTTTATCTGACATGCGCATGGCAGAACATATGGTATAGAAACATTGTAATTATCAATATACAATGTTAGAACTATTGAACATGCGCACAGCACGTTGCCATAACAATTAAAGTTTCGGTTTGCGGGCAGTAGAGGCGAGCCAGATGTCGGAGGTACAGTCTCCTCCGGGGTATCTGATCTCGTGGGCTAGCACTGGGCCGTCCGGTTCCTTTCCGAAGTCCACAAAGAAGTTAGGATTAAGTTTGAGTCCACCCTTCCTCGTATCAACGTCGATGGCTAGCATCATTGTACCCTGACTGTAATAACCCGGATGTAAATTGTTAGTAAGTGCAAGTACATATTGTGTGTATCAGAAGGGTCGTGGATCTTAATGTTCCCGTTCACGCGTCAACATCCGCCCTACCGATGCATTGTAGAACGTCATAAATATTGCACCTCTCTTACACACTCACCGTTCATCCTAGTCGATCTGACCTCCTCCTTCTACCCATGCCGTACAAGCATTTAAGATTCTCATCAATCCGACACTCGCCCTCTACACAAAAGACAGACCCTCATAAATCTGAAATCAGCCTTATACACACAGCGTAGACATTCGTCAAACTGACAGGTAATATAGTCACTCAACAATCTGACATCGGCACAATACTTACACTCGCCCTATAGACGAAGTATAGAATCTTAAGGACCCTATCAAATTGACTTTCCCACCAAAAACTGTTAACATGAAATATAAACCCCTATTATTTTGACATCAGCCAAATGCATGCCCCCTCAGTTATCTGCTGTGAGCTTCCTTAACAGAACAATTAAATTTAATATGGTATTAACGTCCCCAACGACAAAGATAGCAGACGACAGGAAACTTTTGTTATTGAAGCAATGTATTATAATTAAAGGCTGAAGCAACCGATAAGGAAAAGTTGACTCTACACACTGATTGAGCTATCGCGCGTTCATTTCTGTACTACGTTCATGCGTTCCAGATCCACGACCCTTCCCGTATAACGTAAAAAAGATTAGAACGCGTCTTCTATAATAAATAAGTTAGTTATAAAAGCGCCAAATAATATTTTATTACATATGGATACTTTTTTCGTGTAATCAAAATCATCACAGTAACAATAACAGTTAGGACAAGTGGAATATTTAATACCAATGTACGGAATCATAAAACAAATAATACATTTGATACAAAAAAAAGGAAGAGAAAGGCGATCATTGGGTAGTACACTTTTCTCTGACAGACAGACAAAATCGTGATATTTGCACATGAAGTGACACACTGGAAATAAGGAGATATATAGTACACAGGAGGTAGTCTTTAGAACACAAAAGTCATGTATTGACACATACTGGCAGTAGTGCGATCTGAAGTACACATGAAGTGACACACAATGAAAGAATGAGATCTGAAATACACAGGTAGTGGAACACATATTTAGAGAAGTGAGATATGTAGTACACATGAAGTACACACGAAGAACACACACTGAGGGTAGTGAGATCGGAAGTATAGAGGTAGTGACACACACTTGGAGAAGTGAGATATGTAGTACACATGTAGTTTCACACACTGGAGTAATGAGATCGAAAATATCGAGGAAGTGACACACACTTGGAGAAGTGAGATAGGCAGTAGTACACATGTAGATACACACACTGCAGTAGTGAGATCTGTTGTATAAAGGTAGTTACACACACTTGTACAAGTGAGATCCGTACTACACATGTATATTCTACACACTGTGCTTAGTGAGATCTGTAGTATAAAGGTAGTGACACACACTGGCTGTAGTGCGATCTATAGTACACATGAAGTGACACACAATGAAAGAATGAGAACTAAAATACAAAGGTAGTGGAACACATACTTAGAGAAGTGAGATATGTAGTACACATGAAGTACACATGAAGAACACACACTGGGGGTAGTGAGATCGGAAGTATAGAGGTAGTGACACACACTTGGAGAAGTGAGATATTTAGTACACATGTAGATACACATACTGGGGGTAGTGAGATCTGTAGTTTAAAGGTAGTGACACACACTTGGAGAAGTGAGATATTTAGTACACATGAAGATACACATACTGTGGGATAAGTGAGATATGCAGTACACATGTAGATACACACACTGTGGAATAAATGAGATCTGAAGTACACATGTAGATACACACACTGTGGGATAAGTGAGATATGCAGTACACGTGTATATATACACACTGGGGGTAGTGAGATCTGTAGTTCACAGGCAGTGACACAGACACAATGAGAGTTGAGTAATTTATAGCTTGACAATAATGTGCGTGTGTTATGATCAGCATGTTAACAATTTATTTTGATAAGTAATAAAGCATAAAACTACATGAAAACATATTTAAATGTACTAACCGTGTTACTGCTAGTGTTAGCCTTATCAAGCACATTCTCTATGACAGGCTTGGTGCATAAACACAGGCAGTACTTGTGTGCATTGCCTATCAGCCCAGCAACAATTAAGCTGCACTGGGTCTAAAAGCCAACAGTATAAATATAATCAGGTAAAACAACTTTACCTGAAGTTCCGAAATAACTGTCTTGTCCTTTTGACATAAAAGATAAGTTTTTACTTGGGATCAAATATCTAAGGTGAGAGTAGTATTATTACCTGAGGAGTTCCGGGTAGAACTGTTTGTCCCAAGATGAGAACAATGACGTAGTCAGGTATAGACGTTTACCGTCCAGACTGAGCTGGATCATCTGTGGTCCACCAAGTATACGGTTACCCTTGATGAACGCTGGCGCCGGTTGTTCCTGGAAAAAAGATATTCGTCTAATTCTCAAAATATATGAAAAAAATATTATAACTCATTGAGTATGCAATGATGAAGTGCTTATAGTTTTTTTAATCCTTCGAATCGCTTTTGTAGAACTACGACGTAGCGACATTATTTACAACTGCAATCGTGAAGCATTTGTGGAAAGAGCGCAAACACTTGTGGACTTGTAAGGGACTGTATATCCAGTCTGTATTACTGACCGGGTACGGAATCTATCACACCCGCTACCATCATACCTGAGCCGACAAGACGCTATGCAGTTGAGTGATAACAACTGCATAATGCAGTGAACATTGCAATGTTGCCGGGATGAAATACAAGGTAAGGAAAGTTACAAAACAGCCTAAGTACATACGAACTTATTCCAGGGAAGACCAATGAAAATGTACTAGAGTGATTGCTACTGGTAATCACAACTTTAATATGGACGAGTATGTGACCATTGCGACCAATTTGAATTCAGTTTCGATATGGAAACCCTCTTGAGCATGACAGTAATGCATCATCGACCAAACTCTAATTTCTGGTCACCATCGGTTTGATCTTGAAGTGAACGACAAGAGAGAAATAAAAGAGGAATCTAGTTGACAGTATTGTTCCAAATTAAGCATCTGAATGTTATCACTGATCATGAAGGACTTTCTCCCACGAACCTGAGAAACCTGCCGAAGACGATTTGACACATCGAAAAGAAATACGAAACAGATATCCGACTTAACAGCTACATGCCACGTCTACGCTACAAGTGTCAGTTGATGACAAGCGATTGAAGAAGCTTCTTAAAGATTCATGATGTGACCCCAAGGAAAGTTCCTAAAAGATACGTCGTTGCTGAGAGGTCTCATCAATAAAGGCAAAGTTCCACACAGAAGAAATAAGGACAGGACCGCCGGAAATGCTCTTGTTGCGTTTGCGCAAGTATTGTAGAAGAATTGGCCGATCAAGATACAACAACGACACCAAGTCAGGAGTATTGGATGCTAATTTCTCTCCCTATCAGACAAATATACCCACACTTTCGGTCAGAGAAAGGTACTATGCCTTACCCTAGAGTAAATATGGAGGGTTCCCCTGTCATTTTAATTGTACAGTGTCCACAGTGGCTTGTAAATCGTTTAAGGCTGAATATAACATACAATTACATATTCTATTTCATGCATTTGTTAAATATGATACCAGGGGGTCAATCAGAACCTTTTTTATATGAAAATAATCTTCCGTTTAATGTACATAGATGTAGTTTATAAATATATTTGTATGTGCAGGTTGATACCACTATCCATGTGTATTTAAAACTGTACGCTTGACCCAAAATTCCCTGGCAAAGAACTGTTATTTGATAATGAGCAGGATCTTTCTGGAGAATATGGAGATCAGGAAACCAAACTACACTAAACTTAAAAGGGTTAATAGGCATAAACAAAGAAAGGCTCTTCGTTTACAAGAAAACTAACATTTCTACACCTCAACACAGGCTAGTACACGAGGCTTGTACACGGCATTTAGTTTATAACACAATAAAATATACTAGCATTCCTCACATAGTTTGTCGTAATCAATATCAATTTGGTTTGAAACTTAAAAGCTTAATGACGCGCGTTAAGTTGTTAAAATGATATAAATGACTGATACTGATATCACGGAGAAATCACAGGTACACCTGCCTGACATTGTTTTATGTAGATCAGTTAGACTGGAGAAGAAAAGGTAAATTCAAATCGTATAATCTAGAATAAGATAGCATTAGTCAGAACACGTTTAGTTTCCACTGGTAAGGTGTATCTTGTGAAGAAGTGTATAAGGTATTAGTAAGGCCACCTCAGTCATCTTAAAATAAGTCTGAAAAATCACTACTCGGGTCATGAGATCCTGGATAATAAACACACCTGATTTCAAACTATATGCCTCCGTATCCAGGTAAAATTTCTGTGATTTGTTTTAAGAAGAAGTGCCTGATAATACTGCATTAACCTATTAAAACACGTCCCCTAATATCTTTTTAGGGTTGAGAGAGAGAGAGAGAGAGAGAGAGAGAGAGAGAGAGAGAGAGAGAGACTCGTTGGTAAGTTCTCTAAACAACGTGCTTGTGTATCCCAGACAGTATGTATCGCCTCAAGGCTGCCCAATAAAAACATTCAGAGCACGTTGTGAGTGAACATATGACGAATATGTATATAATACACACAATATGTGAACTCATCACTGCCGCTTGTGAATTAAACATGATTACCCCCACATACAGTAACAAATACTGACAGCGTTTGTGCAATGGATCTCAGTGACTTTTAGGGAGGCTTTCAAACGAATAGGATAATTTATCCATGTTACTACGACATATACATCCATCTTCAACTGCGGTATTGAACAACTACAGATTGACAAGTATAATATAAATACTTTGAGCTGGACCTCTTATTCAAAACACCAGGATTGACCTAGACCTTGACCTAATGAAAGCACATTACCTCATTGTCCTGTGTACTTACCTTTACCTCACAGTCTTGTATGATTTCAAACCAATAAATATTAAATTTTAATTATCTTTCTTGTGTGACCTTGACCCTGTAAGCTCACACTACATTTTCACAGTCTTGTGACCTCGACTAGATTTACTAGTCTTTAACTGACTTTTTTTTATATCCTTTATCTTATTACGTTAAATACAGCTCATCATCTTGCGTGACATTGTCCCTAAAAGTTAGCCATTCATTAACTGTCTTGTGACCTCGACTAAATTTACTACAAAGTGTAATCTGTAACTGACCCTTTTCTAAAACCGTCACCTTATTAACCCAAATTTAACTAACTATTTTGTATGATATGAATCCGATTTACTCACTGTCCTCTGTAATGTTGACCCGACTAGTAATGGCTCACCTTTAATTCACTGTCATCTGTGACCTTGACCTTGCCATCCCTGCAAACACTTCCGCCTAGGAACAGCTACAACAGAAAATCTCATATGAACAAATGAATCATTAAAATAAATAACGACAAATACATAACGAGACAACGTCACTAACTGCGCGTGATTATGTTCTTCCAACGTATTACAGTGCATTAGTCTTTTGTCACTCACCTGTCCAACGAGTTTAGGATGACGTCGGTCTGTGATGTCATACTGTCTGACGTCACCATGGAGCCAGTTACTGAAGTAGAGGAACCGGTCGTCAAGGGAGAGGAGGATATCTGTGATCAGTCCTGTGGGCGAAAAGAAAAGAAAATATCGCAGTTAGAGATGACCAGTTTATCTCCTCCATTCCACACACACTCGGAAAACGTTAAACATTTTATCTGAACACTAAAAGCTACCTTCTTGCGACATGTTAAATGTGAAATGGAACAGAAGAAATAAAGAATGAAGTGTGCAGACTTTCCACGTTTTGTTGCTGTAAAGAGATGAAACTTTTCCCAGGCTGTTGTTGAATCTGTTATGTTATGTTATGGTAGGACAGGACCGTAACGCCTCGGGCAACAGTTTTTCAAGGTTTTCTTCAGCAACTGAGGACAACAGTTTTGAATGTTCCAAATATCAAGGCTTTAATTATCCAGGAATACTTTTCCAAAGGGCTTAACTAGCGTTACTTGCTTCATTGACGTCACACACGGTAATTAATGGTCTTATCAATATATATTTAAAATTCTTATTTTGAATTCAGGCTTCGATTTATGAATGAAGTATACGTAGATGAATATGTGTCATTATCCTTACATATTCAGATGCGATTTTTGAAGATCTTCCATTAAAAATGAGCATATTTGAGAGAAAATGTGCTGCTGGAACTTATGCCGACGTTAATCGTTTGTTTCAGGTGTGGTACTATTTTCCCGCGACAGCAAACAAAAACTAAGTAGATTTGTTTCTTACTGAAAAGTCCTTAATCATGAATGAAACAATCAGGATAGGAAGATAATGTTTTCTTTCGCAGAAAAGAGAAGAAGGATAGAACGTATGTTTGTTGCATTGTTTGAATACGTTTAGAGGGTTTTAACTTGTACATAATCTTGTTTCAATCCCTGTGTTCAATGAATTAAGCAAATGCTTCCGCCTCCTCTGAACTACTATTAATGTCGGCGGTATACGACTGTTTACATAAGAGGTTCTGCTTATTACAATTTCATTAAAAGGAAAATGTTCCTTTATCAAATGAAAACAATTCTCACTCCTGTCGATTTCCAAACTACTCATCTGTTTTCAATGAACTGTTAAATTTAAACGCTTATTCTTTCCCCAATATGTCTTAAACTCTGCGTCACATGGTTAGTATCGGATACAAATCCTGCACTTTCACGACCATCGGAAAGTCACTGCAGCCTTATCAACAAATGTACTACAGTGTAGATGCTCCTAGACTTACCTGGCATGTCCGGTAGAGCCCATCCCTCTACTTTCTTTGGGGCTACCTGGATGACCTTCTCGGCGTCCCACGTGCGGTCCTGTCAACAGAGAACATTACTTTAAATATCCGAGCAATACACTATTACAAACTTCTATTAAAAATACAATGAAGAATGCAGCAACACAAATGACAAAACATAATCCTTTCTGTGTGGCTCAATCACGTGACTACGTAAATGATAGAACCGTCCATTCAAACGTTAAAAGATAACAAGCGAACGAATGCTTTCCTTCAGTTTGGTTTACGATATTAAAGTGTAAACAGTCGATTAGTCAAATAATCTGAATAATAAACATTTTTAAGGAGAGGATGCTCAAGACAGATCAACTGATCAAAATATCATTGGAAGTCTTCAAAATGCATATTCTGTTTATTCTACGTTTTAGTATAGAGTGCCACACGATGACAGTACATCTGACATAATGGTTATGCAATAGCAAAGTGACCACCTAGCGGGCGAATCAATTACACGTTGTTTCCAAAATCCATATAACTTTTTGGAATCCAACAAAAACAAGGAAGTACATTAGGGGGGAGTTGGGCAAAATTGTAATATAGAGGGTGAATTTAAATGCTTTGTCGGCAAACACGATTACATACGTATCATGCAAATCGTTGAGTGTGATTTGGACACCAGGGTCAAGAAATACAGAATAGTTTTGTTTTCATTTTGGATTTCAAGCTGCCAATTCTTTTTTGAGTGATGAACCTGAAAGATTTGACCCACTCTGAAACTGTATCCAAGTCAGCGTACACTTGATTCTTTGTGACTATCAGTAGTATTCCACGGAATCCATCAGTATCTTGAAATACACATTTCAATTGACAGTCAGAGTATCTCCTTACTTAGGCTTTATATGAAAAGTTATTGTAACTTTACAAAATGGATACTATTTATCTCATTCACCCCTGAGACCACATTTGAACTCCTCCAATCCAAATGGTGGAATAGTTCTCTATGAAATTTCAGGGTTGAATGAGTTAAAGCGTCAGTTGTTAGGGGATATAGAATAAGAACTGACTGAAGGAAGATTTTTCAACCGTTGTGGTATTTGCATGAAGCTTCAAAAGTTGGAACCTTGTTGAAACACACGTTCCTTATATTACTGGGGGGAAAATGACCAAAGAATCGCAGTTTATGTATAAGGCATCGGACAAGTGTGTCATTGTTGGAGGTTCGCATACAAGCAAACTGCTTCCCCCGGCTGTAAATTGATATAGAGAAAACGTGACACCGTTTGGATAAAAAATTGCTACATACAAGCTTACCCTTTGTTTTAGGAACCGTTTCAAAAAGAATGTTTGGAAATCGCAGCAGAGAGAATCAAAGGCCATATAAAGCATTTAAAGCCGTCCATTTCTTCTCCGCTTTATTTATTACTTGTCCATAGTTTGATCTAATTCCGCTGTCAAATGGTTTTGTTGAAAACAGTAAGTTAAGTAACGCACCTCTTTACGGAAGAAGCGGAAGACGGAAGAGCTAAGAGCACAGCCGACGTAACCCTCTGTAGCCAATGGGTCGTGAAGGAAGCGGATCTCTAGAGGGATGTGGCCATCCGGTCCCAGCTTTATCGTTTGCTGAAGTTCGCGTGTCGTCCAATCCCACACATTCAATGCGTTGCCGTAGTTTCCTGGCTCATAATAAATAGATGTAGAGATAACCAAAGTTGTGATAATCGTTTAAGTTGTTACATTAATGAATCCCCGAACTAATACCCTTCTTCGTTCATCTATCAAGCTGTTTGTAATATCGACAGAAGAATTAATGTGAATTCAGGAAAAAAATATACTTATTTGTTGTTCACATCTATACTAAGTAATACTCCATACGAACTTTGAATTAGGATTATATTGATGAGTAACAGGCAGAACTGTTTGTGTGATATTTGAAGCTTAACAGTTTAAGTTGGAACCTCGTTTTCTTGTAATGTCATTGACCATTTAAACAAATCGAAAAATAAAGTTCTTGCACATTTTGGTCACCAGTTGGATCTTGAGTAAGAGGTTGACAAACGTACAGAAAATTCGTAAGCGAATATGATTTTACGTCATTAGAAGAAGACCCATTGTACAATACAACATGATTAACATGTAAGGTCAGTATTACACCATTACAGACTTACCCGCGGTGACATCGGCAGGGTTAAAACCGTTCCGGAAGCATTTAGGGGCGCCCCATTCTGTACTGATCATAACGTTGTGGTAGGGTTGGTACCAGAAGTCGTAACCGAATTTGACACTCTCTTTCTCCCAGTTTCCCTTGACGATAAATGTTTTGCCGTCCACAAGTATGAAACCACCTACAACACAATAAAGTACAACAGTTGTATCATCTACCCTGACAGATTTATATTTCAATCTACAAATGTATCCAACACAGTGGGGTAAAACAAATGTATTGTCTCCTAGGAAGGGCGGTGCTACTCATAGCAGATTAAAACCGGCAGTAGCCTCAGTGGGTTTTTATCCATTGTCGCTATTCATATTGCAATGCATCGCTTGGATACTTCCTGTTTAGACCAAGTATACTTGTTTGTGTGATTTGTAACGAATTGGAAAAAGAAATACATCATAGTTGTTGGCCAGTACAAGTAGTGCTTAATGTATATGTACATTTCCTTTGGCGACTTTTCTTCTTTGGTCTTAATCCGCTGTGGAAATATAGTCCGTAAGCAATGCCAGTAAATTACGATAGCCGAATATCAGTAGTACTCAATGAACATTAAATTCGATTTGATATTTTACGTCAATCGCTTTGTTCACTCTTAATTTTTGTAAAAAACTTACATATTGAAATATCTACCCAGCTGTAAAACTGTATATTTGTTTCTGTAAGTTGGATGTTATTTTTTGGTTAAGTATACATACATGTATAAAAAGTACGTAACGAAATTAGGTACTTACTCACTTAGTTCATACTCCAAGGTCATGCCGTTTATAAAATAATCATAACGGCATGCGACGCTAAACGAAGCGTTGCGAGTACTTTCAGAACTTTGATGTGATCGTATCTTCTACATCAACAAATAATATTGTATTAAATGTCACTACGAATTCACCAAAAAATTATGCAACTGACATTTATAATTTGATGTAACAATTTAGTTATCTCCATGGACGCCAACCTTTTCCGTTTCCATCCGGGTCCCCCATACAGCTGATCATGATATCTCCACTGGCCAGACAATGTGACGTGTGTGGAGCTCCAAGGCCACATTTATCGTGCATCTCCCAGGGCTCAATACTCTGCAATGTTCAAACATACAGGGCTCAATACTCTGTAATGTACAAACAACCAGGACTCAACATTCTGTAATGTACAATCAACCAGCACTCAACATTCTGTAATGTACAAACAACCAGGACTCAATACTCTGTAATGTACAAACAACCAGGGTCCAACACTCTGTAATATATATACAACGAGGGTTCAATACTCTGTGATATATATACAACGAAGGTTCACTACTGTGTGATATATATAAAACGAGGGTTCAATACTCTGTCATATATATACAACGAGGGTTCAACACTGTCATATATATACAACGAGGGTTCAACACTCTGTCATATATATACAACGAGGGTTCAACACTCTGTCATATATATACAGCGAGGGTTCAATACTCTGTAATATACAACCAGGGTTCAATACTCTGTAAAGTACAAACAACCAGGACTCAATACTCTGTAATGAACAAACAACCAGGACTCAATAATCTGTAATGTACAAACAATCAAAGATCAATACTCTGTAATATACGACCAAGGTTCAATACTCTGTAAAGTACAAACAGACAGGTCTCAACACTCTGTAATGTACAAACAACCAGGTTTAAATACTCTGTAATATATATACAACCAGGGTTCAACTGTATGTGATATATACAACCATGGTTCAATAGTATGTGATATATACAGCCAAGACTCATTACTCTGTAATATATATCATCAAGGGTTCAATAATCTGTGATATATATTCAACCAGGGTTCAATATTCTGTGATATATACAACCAAGACCCAATACTCTGTAATATGCAGACAACCAGGGTTCAATACTCTGTAAATTACAGACAAGCCTCAATACTCTGTTATGTACAAACAACCAGGACACAATACTCTGTAATGTACAATCAACCAGGGTTCAATATTCTCTAATAAACAACCAGGGTCCAATACTCTGTAATGTACAAACAACCAGGACCCAATACTCTGTAATGCACAAACAACCAGGACCCAATACTCTGTAATGTACAAACAACCAGGACTCAATACTCTGTAAAGTACAAACAACCAGGACTCAATACTCTGTAATGAACAAACAACCAGGGTTTCAATACTCTGTAATATACAACCAGGGTTCAATAGTATGTACTATATACAACCAGGCCTAAATACTCTGTAATATGCAAACAATCATGGGCCAATACTTTATGATATACGAACAATCAGGATTCAATACTCTGTGATAGTGTACAGCCAGGGCTTAATACTCTGTAATGTACATACAACCAGGGCTCAATATTCTGTAATGTACATACAACCAGGGCTCAATACTCTATAATGTATATACAACCAGGCCTCAATACTCTGTAATGTACGTACAACCAGGACTCAATACTCTAATATATATGCACACAGCTAGGACTCCATACCTTAAAACATATACAGCCAGGGCTGTATACTCTAAAGTACACATATAACCAGAGTTTGGTACTCTGTAAAATACAAATAATCAGAGCTCAGTTTTACAATTCTGGATTCAATAAGCTGAAACATACAAACACCTAGGTTCCTTTACTCTCTAATTTACACACAATCAGGACAGTCACCCACCGTATCGAGAGTAGGCGCTCTTGAAGCGTCGCCGACGTTCACTACGTATATCCGGTCGCTGTTGACGCAGGGCAGTATCAGTCTATCTCGACGCTGAGTTTTGTCACCATGACAACTGGAGCACGTGTTCCAACCGGAGTGATGAAGCTCGTCACTCACATTTGGCATGGGAAGACGATGTATCACCTGAAAAAACCCACAGGACCTAAGGTTAATAAAAGTAACTAATGTAATTTCAATTCCAGGTGTACCACTTCATTACCGTGATACCTGTAGTTACAATGCAATGAATTAACAGCAGTCCGTGTGTAACTGTAATGAGTAAGTTATCTGTAATCCGTGTGTTACCTGTAATTAGTTAAAATATCTGTAATGCATGTGTTACCTGTAATTAGTGAGTTATTTGTAAATCGTGTGTAACCTGTAATGAGTGAAATATCTGCAACCCGTGTTACCTGTAATTAGTGAAATATCTGTCATCAGTGTGTGACCAATACTTATTCAATTATCTGTAATCCCGTATTACCTGTAATTAGTGAGTTATCTGTAATCCCGTGTCACCTGTAATTAGTGAGTTATCTGTAATCCCGTGTTACCTGTAATTAGTGAGTTATCTGTAATCCCGTGTTACCTGTTATTAGTGAGTTATCTGTAATCCCGTGTTACCCGTAAGTAGTGAGTTATCTGTCATCAGTGTGTGACCAATACTTATTTAATTATCTGTAATCCCGTGTTACCTGTAATTAGTGAGTTATCTGTAAATCCCGTGTTACCTGTAAGAAGTGAGTTATCTGTAAATCCCGTGTTACCTGTAATTAGTGAGTTATCTGTAATCCCGTGCTACCTGTAATTAGTGAATTATCTGTCATCAGTGTGTGACCAATAATTATTCAATAATCTGTCATCAGTGTTTGGCCACTAATCATTTAATTATCTGTCATGAGTGTGTTACTTGCAATAAGTAAATTATGTAAGATATGTGTGTTACCTGTTTATTGTGAATTATGTAAGATATGTGTGTTACCTGTTTATCCTGTGATGAGGGAATTCCTGTATTTTCGGTGAATATTTAGTATAGGATCCGTCATTCGTGTGACTTGTTAATTGCGTGTTACCTAATTTACATCCGTGTCAGTACGTGACCTTCAATTCATGTTACATGTACCTGTATCTAATTTCTTACCTTTACATGTGTAACTACGTTTAGTATATGATATGTGACAGGTGTTACCTGCTATTAGTGGGTTATTAACCAGTAATCCAAGTGTCGATTGTAATTTCGATGTATTAAATACCTATTACCAATACTTGACCCATAGTGTTTTAACTGTAACTTGTATTATACTTTGTGTTTCGCTCATAATCAGGTTCCTTTTTGTTGGATTAGATAGTATTAATTACAATTGTAGTAAAGCTGCATGAAATTAGACTGCCTGTTTGTAATTAGTAAATAGGCATATCCTGTGCCTGATTTGCATACTATATACCTGTAATCAGTATTATTACCTTGCTGTAGGTGGGTGATTTCGGATCGACGTCCACCGTGACGAGGTAATCCGGCTGCTCACCGCGCCTTTCCGGTGGGATGATACAGGGAATGTATACGATCTCCTCCCGGGGAGCCTTCTCCATGGCTTCAAGGGGCGTGGCATACCCGGGACCTTCTCCACAACAAGCTGAGAAGACATAAATGTTACATTAGATTATGTTAGATACATTTTTATCATTTGATTACTTACATTCATCTTTATGTAAATATCATATGGGTCATCATTTATGACATTGAATCCTTATCTCACGTTGTAGACTGCGTTCTAAAATATATCTAAATAGGCGTGCCCTCAGTCATTAAAGATGAAACCAAGTTCAAGTTCAAGTTCATATATTTCCTTAAGCTTTACAGCTCATTAGTTGTGCATATATACAGTGCAACATAAAGTAAACAATTTAACAACAACACGCATACACTCCACGTCCGCACCTACTCCTAGAAGTTTAGAGAGATATGGTGCATTGCTACAAATAATGTAATTTATCGTAGAAAATTATTAGATGATAAGGACATATTAATGTTTTACTGACACACACTAGATACTTAATTCAGTACATTTTGTCGTCTTCTATTAGCGATTCTTACATATTTGGCCAAATTAGTTCTCTCCTTTTTTTCTGTGGATAACAACTTAATGAATGCATACATATTTATATGTCTGATATGGAAAGGTTTAATAAATGAATTGGTTAAATCGGAATGAAGTTGACATTTAAGAACAAAATGAAATTCGTCTTCTACATCATAAGAGGCATATAACGAACAGACCCTGTCCCTGTGTTCAATACCTTGGTATCTACCAGTTTATACATTAAGTTTATGGGAAAAATGTTCTAATCCTTCAGGTGTTGAATATCAATTGACCTTTTTAAGTAAGTTTGCAAACCAAACTCATCAGAGAGATATTTGTATAGATTACATTTGGAAGAAGTGTTAATTTATTCGAAACATTCTTATTATTTTCCCAAGAGTTCCTGCCCAATTTTTGTGCGAGTTCCCTTATGAAACCAAAATATGCAGCCCCCCCCCCCCTTTTATTGAGAATTATGGATTCACCTGACAACAGAGTTGCTTCATAACTTTTGTACACAAAGTACACACTGTAATATATCCAATACACTATGACTTGAAGTCACAATATACTTAAGTACGTGACAATTGCAAGTTGTGTATTCACAAAAATTGGCATAAGAAGTATTTTTTTCCCAAAGACAATTAATTTGCTTTTCATGTTGTTATTCACCATATCAGAATTGCAATTTTTACTGGTATGATAGGAAAAAAAATATAAAACATTGTGTACCCTTGTAAAATCTCCAGTAAACCATGGCTCAATTCAAAATGGCTTTTATGCCCCTGCTTCTAGGTATCGGGAGCATTATTAGTTATCTCTATATTAGGAGGGGTCTACGGCCTCATAGACCCCGTCTTATTTTTATAGACCCCAAGCCGAAGGCTTAAAACAAAAGGGGTCTATTTGACACATTCACCTTTTTCCCCAGAGTTATGTGCCTTGCTTATGCGGAAAATAGCAAAATGTAAGGTTTCAAAACAACATAAGTATTCCTTTCCTTTTTTATCAGGTGATACGAAAAAGGCTGCAGTGTGGTTTTGACACTTGTAATGGTTACTCCAAAATTTTTACTCTTTATGCAATAAGGTATTTCAAGTTAAATTATTGCTAAGCCGAACCATTAGTTAGAGCGGGGGCATCTGGCATTCTCTTCTGTGTTTTTAACTTATATTATATTTTCTTTTACAGGCTGAAATCATGAATGCCTGTTCATTTTCATCAATCAGTCAACACATAAGCTGTGGACCAAATTTTGCAATATTTCACCACCTACAAAATGCCTGCTGTTAACAACATGTAAGGATAATATTACTTCGCATCTACGATCGTGCCATATTGCCCTGCCAACCATAGATTCAGAATGTGAAAAGTTTGACAAAAGAAAAAAACCTGGCCATAAATTTGACCCAGAAGAAGTCTCTCAGGAAATGCGACGAATTAAAACTAAAAATGGGAAAAAACGGTTTTCCAAAAATGAGTTTCTCTCAGCCAAGCATATCGCAAGTTACTTTAGCCGTCTTGTCTTAACAAAGCAAAGCCTCGGGTATCTAGCTCAATATTTTGTCCCTTGGGTTTGAATAACCTTACCCATACCTCACATCAGGGATGGATTCTATTAATCTTGCTCAAAGGTACTGTACAACACTGTGCCGTACCGTGACTCGAACACGCAAACCTTCGGTCACGAGCCCGGCGTCCTACCACTAGACTACCGTGCCCCCTAACTATCACTACCTTCTCTTTAACAATTTGTCCCATAATTTTTGACGATTCACAAAATCGAATGCCTTTCTATAATCAACAATACAGCAATCCACGCGCCAGTCTATACCTAGGAGCTCAAACAAGAAATCCCTGAGATTAATGATGATGATGATGATGATGATGATGATGATGATGATGAAGATATGATGATGATGATGCTGACTTCGCAGACCCAAACCCTCATTCTGTAGGACAAACTTCCGCTACTTCTTTCGTCGATATACAAATCACCCATTGCCTGTGCGCTTTGTTCTATACCGTCTGCCATTAGCCTGACACCATTGAGCTCCTTTTCCATACCGCTGTCCTTGCATCCTAGCTATTTCATAGAAAATTCAATTTGGTCAAATTATTTTTCCAATCATGTAATTTTTTATAATTTGTGTATCTATTGCCGACAATCTGGTTCCCATGGCACATTCCAACGCGTCACCATTTCCGCTATACTCTTATGCGACACCCCTTCCATAACAACCTGTGCCTCAGCTGACGCGTTCGAAATTGTCTTAAAATGTTCCTCTATAAGTCACTAAGTCTACTCATGTTACACATGTACAGGTATGGATGTGCCCGTGTATACATAATAACACTAGATACACAACTTTCTCCTATGTGGAGGAGAAGAACTAAGTTTCTCCCATATTAAATTATGTATTACAGTTAGATGTGCAGGTATGGGGTGGGGGATATATAATTTGTCGGTGGGGATAGGCCCAACCACTCTTGTATATCTCTTACCCTGTTGGGGTACATGGTATTATGTATAGAGGATCTGTAATATTGAATTTATTGAACGAGTTTATTAATTGCATATGAAATTAATTAACGAGTTTAATAAATTCAATATTACATGAACACGAGTGTTCGATTCTATTTATTATATAATTCGAGAAACACTCTTTTTCTTGACACGTCTCCTCTATATAAATTGTACCGATGGCTGACGAAAGGTCGCATTACATACATTTTGTTTGGAGCTCACTGCGCCACAAAAAATAGTTTCAGAAACCTCTTCCCGAGAACCTTTTCGATGAACAAACAATCATTTAGGGTTTCATCATCAACCAATGTTTTAATAAATATCATCACAACATCAATGATAATTTTTTATACGAAATCCAGTCAACAATTTGGCATTTACGAAAATAGCAGTAACGTCACATATTTTGCACAACGGCGCGTGCACTGTCAAGGTAAAGGTCATCATAATACACATCGAAGTCGGCACCTTTTAAAAGTATACAGGCTAGGGCTTGGCGTGATTGTCACTCTCTATAACACAAGCGTATTTCTTTGGAGAGGGTTGTTGGATAATGTGAACCTCGATGTTTCCGCCTGTCACTGAGCAAGAAAATATACTGTGGAATCCGCCATGAAACTGGAACATTGGTAACCAAAGTTGACTGGTTACACGTGTTCGCCATTGATTGTGTGTATGTCGGAGAAGTTCAAGTGGAATTTGAACATGCAGGTGTTAAATTTATAATATTGAATTTATTAAACTCGTTTGTTAATTTTATTCTCCCACTGCCCCTGCCTCTGCTATCAACGCAGACAGTAATTCGGCCAGCCATTTTGTTAACAAACGTAGAAGTTGTAGTACCTAGGAATATGACCTGTTTCCCACGGTGACAAGACTAATTTGCATGTTTATTGTTCGTGTGCTATATCGTTTTTATTGGACGGCAATATTGCACGGAAATAGCCGGCAATATTGCACGGAAATAGCCTGTATTTTATAATGAATATGCATATTATAGTCCTGCTACTAGTAAAAAAATTTTTTATCGAGCACAATTGTTTTGAGACCTTTATAAAGACTGGTTAATAACATTACATGTCTGAAGATATGAACTAGTGTGATTGTTCTTATAACGTGTCTAATAAGTCATCTAAGTTTTGGCTAGACACATTTTATATTCAAAAGTACATGTATTGTGATTTTATGAATACTATGTGTTTGACACGAAAGTAAAATATTTGAAATTTGAACTTTGAATATTTGAACTTTGATTTCGCTAACCACTGTAACGTGACGTGTCACCGATCGTGCCCTGCGCTTACCTGGCGATTAGCGACAGGTTTAGTGAAGCTATGTGTATTATGACAGGTTCAGTGAATCTATGTGTAGTATGACAGGTTCAGTGAACATGGTGTGTTCTCCTTTCTCCAATTTAAAAAAACAACCCATAGTAATGTTGTGATAGCAGTTATAGTCTGTTTCATATATATTTTACCTGGTTTATAGCTGTGTTCTCCCACATTACCTGTATCATATATACAGTACTGTCATATACATGTAGCTTTGATTGTCTGTTTTCATCATTTTTAGCCATTTTTTTCCATATCATATACCATTTTCATCAGCTAGATCTATACAAAACAGTAACGTGAAATCCACGAATACGTATAATTTACTTTAATAATGTAATACATGATCTCTGTCTTTACTGATTATATTTGTCATAAATTGCTTGCTAAATTTAGTTCTATTTTATGAAATATATATAACATACATGTAAATTTATAGTAAAAATGTATAAAATAGAGTTGCTTCCCCTTTCTACACTTTGCCTTTATTTTTTTCGTCCGGAAATAGACGTTCAGTGGAGAAACAGGAAGTGTATCCTTGAAGCAAAGACCATGGTGTTTCAGCCCATGCATGACTATCTTCATATAGTGAAAACAAAACGAAATAATTGACATTTTTGAAAGTCTGGATATAGTCTTTGTATTATTTATGCATCACCGTGACTCATAAGAGAAGCAATTGAAAATGCATTTAT